ACATACGCTATATAAAAGGCATGGAAAACGATGCAGCAGATGCGCTATCTAGATTAAACAATAATACCTTCTCAATCCATGATATAAACTGCCAAGATATTACAGTAGAAAGAGCTGGCAAACATGATACTGCTAGCATCAACAGAATAAAACCAGCGTTTTCAGAGCACAACGAAACCATCCAAATCCGCATCAAAGTAAGCACTACTTAAGCCACCTGTAACAATCAATATTTCATGAGGAAGTTAAACGGCTACAGAAACTACTACAAGATCAGGTAGGAGAGTACACTTTCCGGATAGGAACGTAGAAACAACCATACTTATCTAGCCCAAATGCTACAAATTGTTCTCTATTTTTATTAACTGTTCTTTATTGGCCCCACGGATTTTCATTATACTTACTTTTAACTTCATGCAATCCTTATACACATACATAAAACTTTTCAACACATACAAACTTTTATAACAACTTAACGCTTACTCATCACATCGGATTGTACATTTAATTTAATGAACAATTTTTTTATCCTTTTGTCGAACATAGATGTTAATAAAAAAATCATTTTTTATAAAAAAACATCTACGTTCTGGATGGGAGCTTATGTAGCAAGCCCATTCAACTACTGTATTATTTGTGTGCTCTCTTTAATCTTAACAATTAATCCACTCAGTAAATTTAAGTGTGAGTCTGATTGAGCGCATGTGTCTGCACATCAATCCCTTAACTGTTCTCTCCCTGGTTGTAAACAAAGACAATCAATAATCTATCCACAATCTATTATCACTCATAAACATATATGGATTTTTATCACTCACACATACACACGCTTGTTTTTCCTGTGTGCTTGCTATCTCTACGCCTGCGGATTTTACCGAGCTTCAACAAGAGACTATCTCTATAACTGGTGTTCAGGCTTTTGAATAATCTCTTATAAATCCGTAATACTACTAGGAGATTTAGCCTGCAGTAAATAATCAGTTAGACATATTATCTGCCATAAGTGCCAACTTGGCAAGTGGGGTGTCCTCGAGCAGAGTTTTGGGCCATGATTTCGGAATCGGCTTTTGTGGGCCCTGCAAGAGGCGCGTGAAGTGATGGCTCGGTTTAGCACTACCCATAAGGTGACGTGCTGACAAAGTCTTCAAACGTTCATCCGTTGAAAGGAGGAAATGTCTAAGGATCGACTCCATTAGACATTCGCAAACGTTAGGTAAATCTGTATTGAGGATAACCCTACGGATAGCAGATAAGTGATCTCCAGTAAGCGTTTACAGAGCATAAGCAAACTTTTGCCGTTGGCTAGTCATGCGAGGAATTTCGAATTGAAATTTCTGTGCAGAGACCAAACTTCCGGATCGTGAGCAATAAAGGGAACTGGTCGAAAACGTATTGCCTGTACTTCTGAGTCTGTTATTATTTCTATCGTTACTCTCATGTTGTGTTGTTGCCAAAATATTATATTTTGAAAATTATCAATACGAATACGTGAAACAAAGTGGATAGATAGACAATAAACTTGCCGTGGTAATCCTCTTTTGAGGGTTTGCCAGGGGTTGAAACGTGTTCGAAATTTGGCTGAACAGATGAAGGTCACGTCAAGTCGCGATGGACTATGGTCAGTACTACAGTATTACGCAGAAGTTCTTGAGCTTTTGAATATCAGATCCTGAACAGGAAAGAATGATTTACTTCTTAAGTAACGGTAGTTATAATGTGAGATTTGATGGAACTGTATCCATGTGGAAGCCGGTCAAAAAGAGGCATAACAGTATTTCAGGTCACGTACCTTTCCTTCTGCTCATTAATGAAATACAGTTATCGCCTAATTCTACGACATTATTGTTTGTGGATGATGTAAAATCTAGAGATCAACAGGAAGTTGGGTTGATCATCTTCATCTCTAAGCTGACTTGAAAAAATAAGTTGGATGGGCACGAGATTGAGGTTTAGAAGTTAATTCTAGGAAGCATGTGCCCAAGCACATCAGACAAGGTAATAGTTACCACAATACTGTTCATGGTACATCTATGCGAAGCATGCGAACTGTAACCACCGTGGTTAAAAAGAATTAAACTCATATTTTTAAAATTTTATATTATAAGTTCACGATAAATTGTGATACTTTATAAGCTTCCAAAAATAAAAATTATAAGCTTCGAAACCAGAATCTTTTACTAAAGTTATAGAGAACATTAAGCGAGTAGAAATCAACCATCTTGCCATACGCTATTCAAACGCCTGGAATAGGTTACCAGTAGACATCTGGTCAAATCAAAAGCTTGATCAATTTAAATCTTCCTTGGACTACTTTGTGGACTGATCCCGAGTTACTCGAAGGCTTGATGGAGCTTGCCTATACAAAGCTGGATTAAACGATGGTCTATCCAAAATCTAACCGATTGGCACCTAATGGCCATGTCACAAACTGCATTTATTCGACCCAAGATAACTTCCTTAATTCGACACGTCAAAGATCAAGGAGTGCTTTGTCAGTTTTTTTTATATTGTGCTTCATAGTCCCCTTTAACAACTACTAAACAACTGTGTTTCTTCAGTTTTCTGTTACTCTATTAAATCACTGGTGATGTTACACACATTGGGCCTTAGAACTAACTTGGACCACGATCCAACAAAACCTAAGCGAATGAAGACTGATAGGGGCGGAAAATTAGAAAATATCCGATTAGAAGAAGCACGGAAAATATTCAAAATTATTGTGAATTCCTTGTAGTTCATGTTCTACCAATATGAAACGTTTTTTCATTACTAGAAATTAAACATTCTCTTCCTAATTACTTATCGTCATACTCTTACTTTTTTCAGCCTTAAACCCCTCTTCCATGTTATTTTTTCAGTTATTTCTCCTTTTCATTTCCAAACCACATATAATCTGATCGTAATCTTATAACGTATACCGTTATTTATGTTCATATAATAAACAAATGTTCAATCCACGATACAAAACTGTCAGCTGTTCAGTTGGCTTGTAACGTGGAACTAGTGGAATCCGTGCAATCCAGCAAGATGACTCACAAAGAGCTTAGATAAAAACAATATACAAATGTCCCACAAAACATAAGATAGTTCAAAGCCTCAAGAAGAGGCAGGGTGGCAACAGCCTGCTTCATTTTTAGGAAAACTAGTGGTGGCATTGGTTTTAAGGTCAAGAATAGAGTAGGCCGGAGGAAGTAATTAAATCAGTCGAATAGCATGTCGCAGCCTCGCAGTTTCGGTCATTCTATCTTACCTATCTTCAGTCACCTTAAATTCATCATTCTATATTTAACCGAAATGTGCCCTTCACAAGTAATAAGTGTTATACTGTCAATTGTCACGATACGACAAGACAGTGTAAACAATGATAAAACTTATACATAAAATCTTCTGGATTAGGCATTCACATCATGACAAATTTACAATTCTAGGATTAGGTCTATTACGCGGACCGTACAAATAACGAACTTAGACCATAATTCCACAAACTTTGTTATTTCGTACCTTTCCTTATTCAGACCAGACGCTCAATACCTGAACACAATCATAACTTTCCATCCTGATCTTTCCATCACTGAGGAAACGTGATTTGTTGTGATACAATCGATAAATTCACACAAATATCCTTAGTAGTTATCAAGTGACACCTGCCACAACTCTTGCGACTACAGAGAGATATCAATGAGTATTATTTATACTTGTATATTACGAAACGGAAAAAGACAAAGTTTATGTAAATACTACTATGTTTAAATATAAATGGATGCGTAGGTTTCGGAAATTCGTTATTTTCACTCTAAGTCAAATCAGATCAATCCAAAGTCACCTGGTCATTAGTTTCAGGACCCCAAGATTCTTCTGTGCAACTCTTGACGGCAAGGCAGATCATGATAGTTAATGCACCTTGTTCGTTAGTTTGTAGTGGATGTCGAGTCGAAGACGGACTATGATCACCACTACAATTCGTTTACGCGCCCACAAACGACTTGGTTCCTTTGATAGCTCATAAATCAGAAAGCTTTATTAATCCAGATCAAGTATATTTATTGGCGATCTCGTAGTATCGAAATAATACCGAGACGTGTCAAAGAGTACAGGCAAAATGAGCAGTGCGTGATCAAGTTCGAACCAAACAAGGCGGATAGCGAAACAAGAAGTGAAACTGATACCGTTAAACAAATACAGTAAAACAATCTCTGGTACAATTGGTTACAATAATAATAATTGTTTCCGTTATTCCAATCGTGTTGTTATCGAGATTGGCCGGTCACTTCAAATTATCTGAGGACATGGACAAACAGGCTTTTTGTGTGACAAAGACAGTCTCTGAATGTTTCTTGGTGTCGTAATAAGTTAGGAGTGTGGTGCCTGAGAGTCACAAGTTTATTTATGAGGGTTATATTCCTTCCTTACCTTCGCCATTGACTTTCAAGTGTGGTTTCACAACATGGGATGATGCTTTATGTATCTATTTTTTAGCCACATTATTTACTTAGGACTTCCGTTAAGCTCTCTAAGTTTTTGAAATTAAATGTGATCAAGCACGTTGTACCGATACTTTGTTAGGTTTTGAGAGACAAATGAGACAGATAATACTTCCTTTAAAAGAAATCAAGCAAAACGTTCGGAATACAGTTAAAAGGGTAGATGGTAATATTTAAAGGGTTTAATACATTTGAATGAAGACAGTGATACATAAACATGAGACCAGTATCTCGTGATTCATCAATATTGAGGAACTATTTGAATGATCTAGGACTAGAAACAAAATCCTAGCCCAAAGATTGTGAGCCAAAACAGTCAAATATATCACCTTTGTTCATCAATCGAAATTGAGATGCAATAAGAATGTTATCTGAAACACATAAATAAATAAATATATGAATTTCTATTTTGATTGGAGTCAACTATTCAGGTTTTTTACAGAAAATGAATTCTATTGTCTTCAGCAAGGATGTTTTCACACTTGTTTAAGTTTATCACATTTAAGCATACTATATAGACCGCATTGTTTAGGTAAGAATCTTTTCAGTTAGTTTAATTTCTCATATTTACATAGTTGTTCAGTACGTAAGTGCTTATTATACCGATTGACTCCAACCTCTCAGTAACGTCTGATAATTCGCATTTGATAGCTAAGTCTAATAATCCATGACTCAGTTAAATGCTTTTTAGTATCACTTCAAAATGCATTCTGGTTGATATTTTAGTTACTATCGAGATAGTTTGAGCGTTTAATCTATTCCATATTTTTGGTCAATTAAATTCATGACTTGTACCATGAAGAAGCAATACTGCACTCCTTTAACACCAGGTTGCATTCATTTAATACCATTTGAACCAATTGAAGGACAAATACCTTCATGTTAATATTTTGGCAACTCTAGCAAATCTATCTCCCCGAATTACTTAACTTCATCCCCATGCGTGCGATACACTAGTTGGCTTACTGCAATTATTGATCAGGCGTCATAATAAAACTGGATATTTTGCGTAAAATGTCTGACAACCAATCACAATCGGCTGCCGAAATCACTAAACTTCTATCAAATACATCACTGATATCATCTAGTACAGAGGAAAAAATGAAAATCTACGAGGACACTCCAAAAATGTTCACTAGCCCAGAACGAATTACTTAACAACTGACTACTGACTTTCCCATGGAATCGTCAACGAGTGGAATTCATTATCTCAGCACGTGGTTGAGGCTTCATCCGTCGACTCCTTCAAAAGAAAGTTGGATCAGCTGAGAGACCATCATTGCCAGGACTAACGCAGGCCATCAAGCCTCCTGTCCTTTCCAAACTGAAACTGATGTGTGTAAGAGCCTGTTGTGGTTTTGCTTTTGTTTGTAAAACATAACTTAAAAAGGCTCAATGTTTCATTTATCAAGCATCGATGCTTTATAAAAAACACGTTCCAATGATATTATGCTGAAATATGAAATGTGCGTCGAATTAACTACAGTAACTATTTTTGTTTTGTTCTATATACCATCACTACTTTCTTATTCTTGGTAAAATCTACCGTTATTCACTATTTGTAATATTTGCTATGGAAAATGTTTGATGAGCGAAGCAATTTCTTTGTATTGAATGGTTCAAAAGCAGTTGTTTCAATCAAGAGTTAGTTTTTCTACTATACTTTGCAAACCGGTACTGTTTTGCAGCAGCTTTCAAACAGAAATTTGCAAAAGTGAAAAGTGAGATAAATTGCTCAAGACTAACTTCTCACTACTTGCCAATAATATTAGATATTAATGCATAGAAAGCTATTATTATTTCCCTTTCTAGTCAAAGACGAAGCATTGTCAAGCAATAATAACCAAATAATCTGCTTAATCCGCTAGCTTAGATCCTAAAGAACCTTTATGGTTGCCCGGTTTTTGTTTAGGAGGATTAATAACGTAATATACATTCTTCAGTATGACTCTGGAACATGTATCCACACGGCCAAGATTTTTTGACAGCTAAAGGCAAAGTAATGGTTTGCTAAGACATCTGGTGGCAAGTGAATGGGACATATCGATGCTTTATACTATGTACTCAACAGTTTACTCGAATACAAACTAATTTGATGTTTAAAACATCGTTGTTAGTAGGACCGAGAATTTAATGACATGGTAAAAATCCTGTCACATAAGAGAATCGTATCCAATAAAACTATCACTTACTGCAGATTATCCCATGGTAAGTAGCTTAAATCCGAAACTAGTTTTCCATAAAGTACTTATATACCAGACCGATACTTTTATCTCATTTCTGTTCTGATGACAATAAAGTTTCTAAAACTGGTCAACTGTACATAATTTTACAAAAATCTGTTAACATTTGGAACACATGCCTCAAACAAAAGCCAATAAAACTATTATAAGCATGCTAAAGTGAATTTCCATTGGGTTATTTGGACGGTTCGTGATTGTTAGGTGTTTATCTGATCATGTAAATATAAACCTCGTTTCTAAAAAAAACTTATTTCATCTTACATGAAATCAACAAGGGTGGTTACTAAACAAAGTTTGTGGAATGATCAGATTCCAATGCTTTTTTGTTTTCTTTTTATCCAGAACATCCTGTATAAAAGGTGTAATTTTTAGCTTACAGAAAGTACTGAACTGCAACACGTGGTAACAGTAGTATATTATATTTTGAAGAGGAATTTATGTTTACTAAGTACAGTTCAACAAAGGAAAATGGAGAAAGTAATTAAACCGCCGTACATAAAGCAACCACCGAGTTTTATCATTATAGTGTATGCTGTTTTGGTTAAGAAACTATTGAATAAATTGAATTATTTTGATTTTCAGTAATATCATATGGAATGACAATACATATAATTCCTGATCCTTATCCCTTCAGACTGTAATCGAAAGATAAGTTAGTTAAAATAAGTTTTAGTTGGTGTCTTTCTCTAAAACAATCTAATAATTAAATCGCTTCATCATTGATTCCTGCATAAAAACGGCACAATTATAAATTCTCAAACATAAATCAAAAAATTCTTTGGACTTTTCAATAAATTAGCTCACGAATATTGTAAATTCGATGTGAAATCGACTTGAAGTGAATAAAAGAACCAAATACATACTGATTTGCTTTCTGGTGGTTGAATTCCTAAGGGAAATATTATCATGGCTTTCATTAGATCAAAACAATCAATTATGAAACAATAAAAGCCCATAAAACATAATAAAATTATCATCTGAATTAACGTTTCCATACCTTTTATTGACATATTCTTCATTTATATGTTTATCGTATTTATTAAATAGCACTGTATACAAATACTAGGTCGATCAAGGTTGACAGTTTGACGTAGTTTTATCGACAAGATGTAAACAAATGATTGAATATTTAATTTTAGCTTAAATTACCTGACTCTAAACACAGTGTTTTGGATTCGTGTATATTTTTTGTAATCTATAATATATAGATCAATGTATAGACCAATATGTCTTGAAAACATACCTTGTGTTCGAGTTTTAGTTGAACGTTGAACAGTTATTATTCATTTATCATTTAGAAAGAATATATTATGATTAGTATTTCTATATCTTTTGTATGAAAATTTCTTTTAAGCATATTGAGCTTTATAGTATAATTTAATCATATTACTATGAATGTAAAATTTTAATCAGTTTATAAATACTGTATGTAAAACCAATGATTTGACTGAAATGTAAAACAACTGAATTTCAGATACCATTTTCTAAGTAATAGCATCTTCATTATTGGTGTGAGGCGTTGTCTTTTCTTATAAAACAGTTGACTCAATTATTGTGATTTGACAAACCGAAGAATAATCATTGAGGCATTTGAAATGGTGTTTGTTACTGTCAAGTTCTCGTCGTAAACTTTAGGATAAGTTTATCTGATGATTCATAAATTAAATAAAATGAGTTTTATAACATTCGCCTCTAGCCACTCTATTATTTGCTCAATATTAGTTTTCAGTAGACTGTTTAATTACTGTTTAATACTAGCCTGATCTATCCATAAGCTCAATTACTCAAATTCACAAAGAAGTCTTAGTGCCTTCTAACGTCTATCCTTTTGTTTATTCTGGTGAGCGTCTTTTCAGCAAGGCGGTTTTCTTCAAAATGAGGTTTCTGATCCCACGGTCAACCTTCCTTCTTTACTCGGGCTTTGAACCGGCAGTAACCCTGGAAAGAATACAGACAGAGATGGAAAAGCTATGAGAGATTTCGAAACTTCCACATATCTAGTAAGTATCATCAATAAACAAGAAGGATATGACGCAGATGTGAAGGTAAGGATTGGTGAAGCAAGTGCCGCATTCCTACAGTTGAGGAACATATGGAACTCAAAATAACTGTCAGCCAATATCAAAGTGAGAATCTTCAATACGAATGTCAGGATAGTTCTACTACATGGAGTTGAAACTTGGAGAACTACTACAACCATTATCAAATAGTACAAGCATTTATAAACAATTGTCTACTCAAGATACTGAATGTCCGTTGACCGATTACCATCAGGAGCAGCCCACTGGGGGAGAGAACAAACCAGCTTCCATCTGAAAAGAAAATCAACAAACGACGATGGGATTATAACAGACATACATCATTGAAATCATCATATTGCATCAGAAGGCAAACTTTAACTTAAACTCGTGAACGGAAATGGAAAAAGGAAGACCAAGGAACAAATTGCGTCGGTATTTGTAAGCAGACATGAAAAAGATTAATAGAAACTGGAAACACCTGGAAAGGATTGTTCAAAACACAGTTGACTGGAGAACGTTGGTGATTGGCCTTTGCTTCTTGACGAGGAGTAACAGCCGTAAGTAAGTAATGTCTATCCTCGAAGTGCTCAAAAACGGGCCTCGATAACTAAATCAATAAAAAGCAATGACGGAGCACAGTTTTATGTTTATCTTTGAGCTACCCAATTTTAGTATGGTCTAAAATGACTCCTATTCTGGTTGTTTCTAACTGAAGTTAATCTACAGATTCAGTCTGATATCAGTGAGTCTAAGTGTGGAAAAATCTTTCCACCCATCAAATCGAAATAACTTTTTATGGATCATTAAGCGAACAATAATAATATACAGGTAATATTTGTCACAGGCGTATCTCAGTTAGGATGATACTAAACACAAGGGAGCAACAGAAAGCTTCTTCGCTTTAGTATCCTTTTTTCTGGTAGTCCTCTGAGATACCTGGATGTCTTGTATTCGAACAATGCTCATGAGTATCATACTAAAACAAACAAGCCGTTTGATATTCTTTGATGTACGACGTTACGTCAACTGAGACTAACCTACGACGAATATAACATTCAAGTAAAACTAATGTTTACGAAACTTTTCCAATCAATCTGTTAACCTGTTTTTCTGTTTGTTTGCTTATTTATTTAGCCCTTTCATTATCCTGCTAATCCATTCAAAAATTAATTGAATGGAGATGTTGAAAGAGTATGTCATTATTTCGAAGATTTTTCACATGTATTTCTACTGATAATTATCCATATTCATATACAACGAACCTTGTACAAGATAATACAAAAAAAATTCCTATTAATAAAAATTGTATTATATGTCATGAATCCGTCGTAACTTGTTTAAATAATCAATCCATTCAGAAGCAAGACTATTTATCATCATCAACAACTCCAAACTATCAACAATTAACAACTGAAGAAAGTCGAAATATTCAAACAACACAACCAGAAGCTATGTCAGTTTGTATTTCTTGTACAGATGTGCTTGATAATAATAAAAATCTAGTAAGTTTACTATTTCTAAAATATAGATTAGAAATATATTGGAATAAAATTTAGTTTAGATTAAATATTCAATCTTGAAAAGTGATTTTATTTAACTTTTGCTTACTTACTTACGCTTTTTGTCGTTTCAATTTCGTAAACGACACCCCCGCCACGAGAAGGCAGTGAGTTGGTCTTCACCGGCGTAGGCTATATACGCGTGGCCATGTCAGAGCATTTGGAGAGGGAGAGCGAACTCTCCCTACTCTCGACCGTATCAGGGCATTTGGGGCAAATAAATATTAACAATGTTTAAAGTAGGTATTTGTTTTAATGTATCAGAGACTTGTGATGTAAAACAGAAAAATGTATTAATATAACAGATTGTTTGTCTGTGTAAATGATGTGGGAAGAAATTTCATTCACTATATATTGTGCCTGGTTGGGATTCGCGAGGTGATAGCAACCGATGGTTAGAGACCTTGAATGACATGGCTCAAAATCGTTTGCAATGACGAAGGTGCATCCACTCTTTGTGTTATACCAAATTCTAATCCTCTGAATTCCTCATGTCCCTATCCTTTTTCTCTTTCCAAATTTATTTCACTGTATTGTACTCCTTCAATAACATCTTCAAACCCTAATCTTTCAGATAATGCTTATACTCTTACTACTTCTACGACTATGGGATTTGAACTGACAACTTCATCTCTGTGCTAATGTGGTACGGCAACTCGAACTGATGTACGTACGTACGAAGTTCTACGTTGTGACTGACTGATATTGTCTCTGAACGGTATATGAAATTTATTTATACAAGTTGATTGTATAATTTATTTAGTATACAGTGAATCAGAGATTTACATACCTATTTACTCCTGTTACCCCTCGTGAAGGAGCATAGGCCACCCACCAGCATTCTCAATCCATCCAAGTCTGTCCTAGGCAATCGTTTCCAGTTTTTTCCAGTTGTTATCCACCCTTTTCATATCTGCTTCTATTTCCCTACGTAATATGTTTTTTTGGCCTTCCTCTTTTCCGCTTCCCTTCCGGATTATTTGACTTTTAGACAATGAAAATTACTGTAAATGTTATTTGTATTTAATATTTTCCTTAGTACTAAAAATTTGTCATTTTTTTACGTGAATCAATATCAGGTATTTTGAATTGTAATTGATTTCTCCTTGGGGGATCTTTTCTGTATTTTGAACACCTTCATGTTGATTTATTCCAAATTAGGAAGAAAAAGTGTAAAGTTAAAAGTTAGAGAAGTGCATAGAGATTACTCTATGATATAAAAATAAACTGGTTAGTGAAATGTCAAAAAATAGAAGATGAACTTCTATTTATATCCGATTCATGGCCTTAAGGGAGTAAAACATCAAACTCATTGTCATTGAAGTACATACTGCTAGTAAATAGACTTTGAAGAGAAGAGGAAACCGAGTTACTCCAAAAAGTGCTACCTATGCTAGTCATGTAGATAGTGATGTCAATAATGATGTCATTTATAAATAACCTATCTCATTAGTTTGTAGAGATTTTGAATAGCTGAAGTACCACTATGTTTAAGCAATACATTATTCCATCTTGAAAAAAACATGTTGGAGGCGAACTATGAGAGACCTTTTTGAATATCAGATTATGAAGTGATTCACTTAACATTGAAGTAATGAATATTGATTTGATTATCGTCTAGAGATGTGACTACAAGTTATGCAAACATGTTTTCTTTGGTTGTGTTAAGTTTATTTATCTATTATACAGTAGATGGAATGTGGTTAGCAGTGAACTCCAGGACAGCATTTCGTTTTATTTGGGATGTGCCTTTATCTCAGAACTGATGTTCGCTTTGGGGTTATAACCTTTTGCTTTTCACTTTAAGTGAGCACAAGTTAATGGTTTTGTGAACTCAGTAACTGATGTGTTGACGTTTAAATCCAGTTGAGGTGTACCAAAATAAATGAAACAGACGTCTTGGATTCCACTGTTAGTCACATTCCAACTATCTTACACAAACCAATGCTTTTATAGAGTATAACTTGGGCACTCGAACTGTAGAACCCTCTCAAGTCTCAAATGAAAAGACAACCACTTTAGAAAGTGGTTGTTTGGCCAAAATCAAAATGTACAGAAAATCATGGATATTTATAGATATTAGCATTTGTTAAATCACCATTGTAATTCAACCACTCCACAAAGAGGCATGTTATGCTACTGACCAATAGTAACATTGCAGGTTGATATTCTAGAAAGCTTCATTACGGTCTGATTGGATGGAACGTTTAGACTCTTCTAGGGTCTGTGGAGGCTCCATCGTAGTTCTTGGAAGCCATCCCAACAACAGGAGCAAAATATTGTTGCTTTGTTTTTTCTTTTCAATATCACTATTACACTATCAAAATTTATCAGAAGGGTCTAATTGCTTCATATTTCTATTCAGTTGTGGGACTAATATTTAGGTATTGTTTCTACTTCATCTGTATGTAATACAATAAATTTACTTTCATAGTTGAAAGCGTGAGTCAATTGAAGCTAGACTACTATGTAAAACCTGAAAGCACTGGACGACCATTTCGTTCTGTTGTGGGACTTCTCAGCAGTACGCATCCACGACCTCGCATCGCGTGATTCGCACCCAGGACCTACCAGTCCCGCGCCAGAGCACTTACCCGATAGACCACTGAGCTGGCATCCGATGGTGTTTATGTCCAATTTCACGTCGTGGATGTACACTGCTGAGAAGTTGTATACCTTTTGATTCATTTTGAAGTGTATAAATAGTTACTATAATTTCTAATGGATATGAATCGGCCATCAAGTGCTTAAAGTTTTTCCATAGTGGTCTAGCTTCAATAGACTCATGCTTTCAACTATGGAAATGAATCAGTCATGAACATTAAACTGTATTATTAAAAAAATGTTTTCAAATACATTTTGGAGAATTGGAATTCAGTAAAACTGTCTATGTGATAAGTATTAAGAAATATACATAATTAACCTTTTCAAATAATAGGTTAAATTTAATTCAAACGATTATTTTATTAGATTATAATATCATATTATAGACTGTTGGATTCTGACAATATGGTCGAATGTGAATGCCATCATCGTCCTGTGACCTGAAATTCCTAACTTTCATGTTGTCATCAGTACTGTGTGAACTTCTGATGAGTCTCGATTCAAAATGAAATAATTAGTCATAGTTGTCCACTTTAGTTGATATCAATTCTCTGATAACATATAACTGTCAACAAATTGGAATAACCTTCATGGAAACCATATTTTTTTAAGAGAATGTTTTATTAGTGTCACTACACCAGAAGTTTATACAGAATGGAGATATAACTACTTATGATTTGAAAAAAAAACTTAATTTTTCATTACATAACCGAATATCTAATATCTTAGCTCTTTTCTCTATCTTATTATCACTAGTTACATTTACCAAAAAATAAACGCTCACGTATGTACATTTACACATACACGCATACACAAACACAATTTTTCTGCCACATCTTTCATAAGGTTCCTTTATAATATAAGACATAAGTCGATATTTTCATTTTCTTTTTTCCTTATGCCTTATTCACTGATATAGACTGATTTATGTTATTTTTGTTATTTATGTATTTTTATTGTATGAAACATTGAATAGATTATTTTATTGACCTTTCATTCACCTCTTACGTAGTATACTAGAAGTAATAGTACCAGTAGTAGTGTTAGGAGTCTTTCGAAAATTACTGGATTGTGATATTTACGCTAATAAACCCAACCCTAAAATGTAGTTGATATATATATATATATATATATATATATATATATATATATATATATGTTCAGGTATATTTCAGTTTTCTTCCAACTATGTTACTATCTCTACATATTTACCAGTTTTCTTTTCTATCTAATTCAACATTTATATTCTATGTGTACAAGACTTGGATACAATGTGTTTCAATGAATGACTAAGTTACCTAAATAATATGACTAGGCTTGATCTATAGACAAAAATATACCAGTAGATGAAGAAAAAAGTAACAGTATAAGATGGTCAATTGAATAATTGAGAAATATCGGTTTCTTTGAATCAAATAAGTATTTCGGAAATGTTTAATTGTTCAGATGAGAAAATTTGAAAAACATGTAGGTTTCATTCCATTGTATCTCCTCATTTCCATTGCTATTTGACTGGTCTTCCCTGTATCTCACATTGTCTGGACATTCCATGTACCCATAAAAAGTGTTGCTCTGGTTGGTAGAAGGTACATCGGCCTCGTGACTTCTGAAAAATTTCGGCTTTCATCATGAGGTGTCATAATTGTTTCTCCAACTCCCAGGGCAGAGTTTAAATGGTTTGAATTATTTTTTTCTGGTTAGTGTTTTTTTAGCGAGTTAGTTTTTCTACGGGATGGGGTCGTTAACCTCATGCCCAACCCTCCCCCTTCACCCGGGCTTGGGACCGGCAGTAACTCTAGAAGAGCTACAGGCGGAGTGAGAATCTTCAATACGAACGTCAAGACAGTTCTACAGTACGGAGCTGAAACGTGGAGAACTACTACATCTATCGTCATGAAGGTAAAAGTATTTATAGACAGTTGTCTACACAAAATACTCAACATTCACTGGCCTGATACTATCAGCAACAGCGTTTTATGGGAGAGGACAAACCAGATTCTAACTGGAGGGAAATTAGGAAAAGCCGTTGGAAGTGGATAGGACATACATTAAGGAAATCACAAAACTGTATGACGAGGCAAGCCCTAACTTGGAATCCGGAAGGGAAACGGAAAAGAGGAAGTCCGAAGAACACATTACTTTGGGAAATAGAAGCAGATATGAAAAGGATGAATAACAATTAGAACGAACAGGAAAGGATTACCCAGGACAGACTTGGATGGATGGAGAATGCTGGTAAGTGGCCTATGCTCCTGGACGAGGGGTAACATGCGTAAGTAAGTAAGTAAGGTTTCATTCCCTTTTTCTCTCAGTAGAATAAAATTATCGGAATAGCAGGAACCGTTTAAAAAAAATAACTTATTAGAACTTTTCTAGTGATAACTACTGAATCGTTATGCTGAAATCTGAACTTTCTATCATTCTTTCCTTTATTTTTTCTTTCATTCTTTTTTTCTACTAGTTTCTTTCCTTATTTGTGTTCTAGTTCTCTGGACTAAAGTTACGTTACCTCAACAAGAGTGTACACTTAAACTATGGAGTTCATACAACGCAATAGTGATAATGGAATGACTATTACAACCTATATTTAACTTGATAATTGTAAATAAAGTAAATACAGAGTATTCTCTCTTCAATAATAAAATAACCATAGTCCACTCAGTTGTCAGTTTATTTGATATTATGAAATTGGATGCTGAGATATTAAAAAGATCTAATATGTTTTCATTGCAGTTTGATCTCATTTCATTTACTGTTCAGAAAAAGGGAACATAAGATGACTACTTCATCTTAGTATTTTACTTCTAATAGATGTACACCCGCAAAACCACCAGTTTTTGAAATGAACACCTGTCTATTAGAAACCATTAGTCAGTATCCACTGGTTCAACTTCACTCAACTGTCAATCAGCAACATGAGGATCAATGAACGGAATCGGTGAAGATATTTTTATTCCTAATATGTATGAACTGCATCAATGACGACTTATAACAGATACAACTTACAAGTTTAATTGATCTCTACAAAAATTAGGATTCCGTTAATACGAAATGAAGAATTTGATGTATTTCAGTCAGTCATTTTAAAATAAAACGTGGCTACTTCTATGAATTCGGTGTTCATCTTGTTGTACTAATGAGGTATGGAAACTTGGACCTTTTTATATATATATATACCTGGTCCTACTTTGTAGCTGACTGACTGATTGAAAATATTTTCCTTACGTATACTTATTCCATATTAACTGAAAAGCAATTTTTTAAACTAACCACGGTAAACATTTCTTTCCAATATTTTTTTCTAAATGGATAGCTAAGTGATAATAAGATGTTTGACGTGACAACTTCATCTTATCGATACAGTTTAACTCATCCATGTACTACTAGTATTGTTACTACTAATCCAACGACAACAACCCTACCGACATCAACAGTAACATGTGTTTCAATGAATGATACAAATGATATAAATTCTACTGAAAAATCAATTAGTTTACAATGTTCAAAATTTATCACACGTTGGATTGCCCATTGCCCATTTCAATGGAGTATAAAATCGTCAAATAATAAAAAAACTACAATTAATAATAATGATTGGCAAACAACAACTATCATTCCTAACAAACCAACTACACCTGTATCCACACAAGCACTTCAACAAGATTTATCAAGTTCAATTGATAAAACGATACAAAATACGAATAATGAAGAGAATGTTAATGAATTCATTGAAGAATGTGTTATACCTATTCCTGTATTCAATTTATTTCTATATTTAGCACAAGAAGGTGTCTATGCAAAAGATTTATTTCGACGACCTGGAAACATTGCTCAAATAAAAGTAAGTAGTATCGTTAAATCTTTTATCATTTATCATAGACAATTTTGAAATTTACACTGAAAATCGTGGATCGTGGATGCGCACTGCTGGAAGAGTCCCATAATAGGATGAAACGGCCGTCCAGTGCTTCCAGGTTTTCGATGGTGGTCTAGCTTCAATTGACTCATGATTTCAACCATGAAAATACTGAAAATCTTGTGAATATTATCATATTTTCTATTAAGCTGTGTACATTAAACTGCTAAACCAAAGTTAATTTGAGATTTGATTTCACTATAAAATTCCTACACATAAAATGTTTGGGTAATTCAATCAAAATCTATCCATCTATTGGTTAGCAGGTTGATGCTAATCCATTTATTACTGGTTATCATGTTCATTTCCTTCTTAATGGCCTTAGTTGACCGTTTTTAAGGACAATTTTAAGTAAACAATATGATTCCTACTGTATAATTTATCATGTTTGTTTTTTGTTCCCAGTCTATCAAAAATATAAAAACAGTGACGAGGTCTAATTTGATACAGTCATTATAAGTTATGTAGATAATATACAATCTAACGTTTTTTGGTACACTCATTAGTTAATTTGTGGATGACTTATGAACCACCACAAAGAGTAACAGGCGTAAGTAATTAGTTACTTTGTAAGTGATTTCTACTTGAGGATGATTTTAGCTAATGTGAATTGTTTTAAAGTTAGGCATATTGAAGATGATGTTCTCTGTCTTCATTTAATGTGTAGTCTGAACCATGTTAGTAGATGCAGACTATTTGGTTGAGATCCGCGTGACTATCGTAAACAATGGTTAGTGACTTCAGGTGACATGGCTCAGAATCAATCACAATGGCGTAGGTGTATACACTCTCTTTCTTTCTTTAAACTATGGGATTAAAATTGCCTCATATTTTTCTTTCATCCTGTACTATGTATTATTATTATTTTATTTAAACACATAAATATTGGTACAAAGAAGCACCGTACAAATCTCATTCGATTTATGTGAGGGCTGTGATACTGCCCAGGTGCCTAAACGGAAGCAGGCCTGTACTATGTCATTATACACAATCTTTCTTTTATATATTACCACCATTAAATTAACTACTTTTATGAATTTAGTGTTTATCTTGTTGTGCTATTGAAGTATGGTAACTTGGACCGATGCATATATGTGCCTGGTTCAATGTTGTAGCTGACTAACTGACTTACTCAATCCACTGTAAAACTTAGTATTAGTGAGACATTGATTTATCATTTCAATAGAACACAGGGTTTAATATAAACTTCACTCAGGTTTATCCTTTGTAGAATCTTCCATAAGGACTAATGATTAATCTAATTTTAAGAATAAACAGCTTACTGAAATCAATCTCGATATCTAAACTTCCGTATTTTAGTGCAGATTGTTTTTAACTATTTCATGTTGGTCACATAAATTTCATCAATTAAATATTCTAAATTGAATGCAAGTTCGGGAAAATTCTTTTACCTGAGAGTTAGCTCTCATTTTCAAGTGATTTTTACTGATGAATCATAGTAAAAGAATTTCATTATTGGTTCATTTCAGTAAGGAATTCCTTAACAATGCACATATACGACTTCATTGAGGTTGAAACTCAGGACCTTAAAGACTGACGGGAAGCTCTTCACTTTCAGACTTTTGAGTTGAAACCTGAAGATTTGTATCTCCAATTCAAATTCATTGACGACAAACAGCGACCATCATCCAGTGTCAGTGGTTGGTAGCTGTCTCACTATATGACTTAACTCTTCTAGTTAGCGCTTCTCACTAGAGCCGAAAGAATCATCTCTCAAAAAACACCATATGGTTATCATTAGTATACGGGATTTCTAAAGTTTGTTGAGATAACAATTTTACAACACGAATTGACTGTAATAAGCAGTCACTGAAAACCAGGACAGTTGTTTCGTCTTAATATATAAATCATCGTCAGTAAATATTTATGACCTATTCACTGGAGATCGAATCTGTTACTTTCAGTCCATCAGAAACCGCTCAACATTTAGTCCATTGAGTCTGCACTAAATGAATGATTTCTATTATTATTATAATTGATCCGACTACTGGTAATAATAATAGTAATGGCACTAAGGAATTATAGATGGAACTGATTTATAGAAAAATGCAAAGACATGATTATAGACGCATTATAAATAAAGTGATTAATGATGAAATTGGTACTGTTAACTGTTTACGTTAAATGCAATACTAATGTAAATGTTTACACTGAATAATAAGCAGTAATGTATACATCAGTCTGCAAATAGGATACATCATTGATTCCTTTCATTCAAATTCATTTTTATCGGTGGTGTATTTCATAATCTTAACTTGACTGAATTTCCCTATTTCATCCTTCCAACTTTAACTTGATGTCTGTTGGGGATGTCAAATCCCCAGAACTTACTTGGTAAATGGCTTAGTTTTGTAATTTTATTTTGAAAATTTGAATTCAGCCGTTTCCGCGCCCAACGCGCTCTTTTTACCTTCACGTCATATCTCCCACTTGCAAACTGTCTTAAACGCTACTGGTCCATTGTTTCTTTGTGTGTGCTATTTACCAATGATGCTCAAGGACAAATTGTTGTTGTATAAATGCGCTTGACTTTTTCCATTATTCGATTGCTTGTACTCGGCTGCTTACGGAATACATATATATTCCCCTACTTGCCTTGGACTTCTTCATCTAGTTAGCGGGGCCTGGGACAACAGATTAGAATAGCTTATCGTGTCATTGTGTCTTTGGCTTTCGTTCGTTACCGCGGAATCGATTTAGTTTCAAGCATAACAATGTCAAAAACATTAAATGACAACTTAATTATTGCCAGAGCGTAAGGTTGTGAAGACTGTTACATTTGTAACTTTGTATCATAGAAAGACTTTACTCAGTATAACACAGAAACTCAAAAAGTAATGGATATTTGTTTTGTTCTAGTATGTATCTATTCAGTATAAGTGTCAATGACCCCATCGGAGATCGAACTAAAGACCTACGGAAGATTGTAGAACACTTGAATCATTAAGTTTAAGCTTGATGCCTAATATTTCTAGTTTAAATCAATACTTTATCACCTCATAAAAGTGAGTTACTTGTTATTACTTTCCTGTCTTTTATCTTTTTCATAAAATTGTCACTTTATTTTTGTGGTACACTTTGTAATCCTCTATGGTACTAGAACTTCATTCATATCACTGAATCTACTGTTCTCTTATTAAGATAAATCAAATTGAAAATATTACCCAAGTATAACTATTGTACTTCATTCTCATTGACTTATTCATCTATCATTGAAATTAATCTTTTCTTTTACAGCATATCCTACAAAGTTTTGCATCTGATCAAGTAATCGATTGGAAAGATTATAATATTCATACTGTAGCAACAGTTGCTAAACGTGTTTTATTCAATATACCAAATGGTTTAATTGGTTTAAAAAGTGAAAAACAACTTCTACGTACTGCTTTATTAACACAACAACCATTAAATGACAATAATCAATTAAAAACAATACGTAAAACATCTACAATCCATCTTCAAGATTCATCTAATTTAGAAATTACTAATAATAATGTTAAAATATCTACCAAGTCTACAGAGAATTTACATCTAGATATAGATAAACCTTTGAATACTTCATCATTCATTTCTGTATTAGATGAAACAAATCTAAGTAGTAATGACAAGAATGAACAACATACCAATAAAGAATGTACAGAACAATTAGATGATTTACTTAGACGTGCTATAGTTATCACGAATATTAATACAACTCAGCAATCTAATACGGTTAATTTATTATTTTCTTATGGTTCAATAAAACAAATTTATCAATTGACCCCAGTGGATGTAGAACGTATACAAGTTTTCCAAAAGTGAGTTTTATACAATTATGAGGAATATGATAGTTTTATCAAAATTGGTATCCGTTAAGTTGATAAGAAGGAGAATTAGTTGATAAGATTGGGAATCTGTATTGCCTGATATAGCTGGAACATAAATTATACACGCTCGACAACCACCAATTTCAATATGCGATGTTGGTTGGCTCAGGTTGAAATGAAGCTGATTGTTTCCAAATTGATTCGTTGTATGAAGTCATGGACTGTTGATTCTTACTTGTTGAAATGTATGGAGTTTACTCTTAGGAATTAACAATTATTATGACCGATATTTGTAAATATTAAGCGAAATGGTTTGGAATTAAACACAATATTGCAGATCCTCTCGTTCTTTATATTCCATTAGATCATAAGTTTAGAAATTCTTGTGTATAAAATGGTGGTTGGAGGTGGTCAACAGGAAACCCTGGATCCGGGTTTATGGAAGCCTTGATTAAGCGAAACTGAATTCCCATATATGTGTTCAAAAACTATTTGTTCTTACCTTTACCCTAACCTGATGATATAGATTTATTTTTCAACATTGTTTCACATTGTGAACTTTATTATTATTACCTTTGTTTCCACTTACCTTCTAATTTGTTCAGTTGACCTGTTATTTTTCATACATAGTTTCTTTATCATGTATAGTTATGACCAGATTGTTTGAAATATATATTGCGCACATGTATCACATAATTCTGATAATCTTCATCTTCTCATTGGATTATCAAGATTTTCAAAACAACTAATTGTTTGGAGTTTTATTATCACTTTTATATTCATGTATCATGAGCAGATGGCATAGTCTACTATTCGGGTTCCGGCAGGCAACTGCCTTTCAGTTTTAGTCCCGAAATGCCCTGATAGTAGGGAAAGTTCACTCTCGCTCTCGAAATGGTCTCACACGGCCACGTGTATACAACCTCTGCTAGGGAAGTCCTACTACCTGCCCCCCAATGGCGATAGTGTTGTTTACGAGATTGAGAGGATGAAAAGCAAATGTTCGGCGCTTTAACCGGGTTGGTTGTCAAGGAGGTTGCACCTAGAAGAGTTGGAAAACCCTCATTCCAAACCAATGGTGGACATGGGCTCCAGTATCTCAAGAGAACTAATGGAGAATGAATCAATCGTTGGTCACCGGCTACCATGGGACTGCATCTCCTCACGATGTACTACTGCCTTGTGGATCAGATCTTTAGGTCGAAGGCTCTGGGTGTGGCCCCCTAAGAAAACCACTTGTTTCATTTTGGGCACCTGGGCAGCATCACAGCCCTCGCACAAATGAAATGAGATTTGTGTGGCGCAAATATATTTGGTATCCCTTTGTATCAATATTTATGTGTTTAAATAAAATAAAATAAAAGTATACTTTGACAAAATATGTAGTCTTTCAAATGCTTTGAGTGATAGTACTATGGTATTTAGCATCTGTTGATTTCCATTTAAAATTCATTGTGTTACGTTATAACTGATTTATGTCAATACCTAGCCTAATATTGTTGGAATGCTTATCAGAGTCGATGGATTGATATCTGATTAGATATCAGCAAGGATATATAGATAGATTGTTTGCCCTTTTTTCAACCTATATCGTTGATTATGAGAAGATGATATATGTTAACAATAATGAAATGTTATGCCGAATGGTATACTTCCAAAGTTAATGTTTGTTTTTCTGTTGTTTATTTCTTCTAATTTTCTTTAAAGTATACTTAAAGATTTAACTGTAGCACATCGTCAACTAACAATAATGATTTTTGGTATACTACATCAACTTGTATTCAATATGGCATATAATACAGCAAATCAAAATCATGAATTAGAAAAAGATAATGATGAGTTACCTAATATTCCATTACTTAAATTAGCTGAAGGAGTTGTAAAGTCTGTCGCTGGTTCAATGTTTCATTCTTGTACATCGTCAATATTATTAATCAATCAAACGACACAGGTAAGTTGTGTTTATAAAATAAGATTTTAGTTCATTGATTTTGTTCTAGTTTCATTAGTAATTTCATGCCAATTTACTAACACAACCAGTCACATTAAAGCACTTGATTGATAGATTTTAAAACAGGTGAAACATACAGGACACTGGTTACTACTCACTTATTAGGGGGGATATCTATCTATAATAAGACGAACTCCAGAAAAAATATGAAAAGTGTGTCCAAATGTATTTCACTCATGCACATTAATTCATCTCTTGGAGCATGATATTTATTTAGCGGCAATATGTGAGAAAATATAACTTCAGATCAAATTAGTTATAAAACGGATGAATAAAAACACCACTGAACTTTGTTTTCTTCCCCAAAAAAATAACAGCGCTATCCTTGCATGCGGTAACTTTTTGTCAACCATGATGGATAATTAAAATTCCAACAAACATATTCAGTTGTCTTTGCTTGGTATAGACATACACAAATAATCGCGTAGACTACAATTTGTAGATGACTTTTGAGCGGCTCACCTACATACTAAGGTCAGAGAGAGTTATAAATTACTTAGAGTTAGGGGTTAGGAATTAAATTAACAGTTTTCATCACAAACTGACACTGATACCAAACTGATATTTGACGATATGGATGAATGAATTTCACATCAAAATCCAAACCATCCTTAATTTCATGGGTTCGTCATAGCCTCGTCGAATAATCTGAGAATGCAACAAGCATGAGAGATGCTTAGGGTTGATTATGTTCTGTTAAGTCTATCGGTCTTCTTAGCTGGTCGTAACCTTACAACTAATGTTGCTTCTCAAATCACAACATTAATCTATGTTGTGTGTACCACCGGTAGAATTAAGGTTAATTATTTTGCTGTTTAAAACCAACGAGACACTGTTCTAGAGATGTATCGTATAGTCTCTCAAAAAGAGTACGAATGGATATATATATATCAGATGGTGATTTGCCAATTTACAGGTTTTCAAAATGACCATACACCATTAAAACTTACCTCAAGCCTGACTAATGAAGCTCGATTTTTTGGCTCAATAACGCAAGTCCTAGTAACAGATGGTTTTTCTCCCAGCATGCAAACATAGTTGTCTTGATCAGTGGTCAAGTCAACCAGTTATGGTTAGTATGAACACTTTAATTCCCACTTATGTTACTGACACAAAGATTAAATTTATTATAATAAACCACAGAGTTAGGTATTATAGCATCCCAGTAATTTCGTACCTTGAGAACGATATAGTCGATTGTTCTTTCTCATGCTTTTATATATTACCACCACTAAATTAACTACTTCTATGAATCTGGCGTTCATGTTGTTGTGCTAATGATGTGTGACAACTTGGACCGATGCATGTATGTGCCTGGTCCTACGTTGTAGCTGACTGACTGACTGTTTGTCATGCAGTGTTGAGGTGTAGCAAAGAAAACAGCCAAGCTATTAGCAAGAAAACTCAGATATATTCATCAATCTATGATCTCATATCGAGACAGTGTATCGTCCTGATGAATGTAGTCTATGTCATGAAATTATTTGTTTTCAATGTCTTAAAAGTAGAAGTGTGGAACAGAATATATCCTTGTCCATTATCCTTCTTATATTTGTTCAGCTTCTCATCTTGTATTTTCTTTACCACCGTTAATCTTTTAATCTGGGGTCAAATTTCAGTACATATATTTATAATATTTGAATTGTGGTTGACGCCTTTTAAAATCAGAGATTTCTAGATTTAACCAAACATACAATAAGCTTACAGTTTGATACAAGTCATTCAGAAATTATTATTATCCTATATCATCTCATAGGTGAGTGGGTTTACGGCTTATCCCAGGTATTTAGGTAGATAGTTGATGTATTCATAAAATGGGTATTATATATAACTGTAATTTAACTATTTAGAATATAAAACAACTTGTCACAAAACACTTCTCAGTATTAAATATTTATGACTTCATTTGATAAAAATCATATATCCATACTGCGGAAAACCCTGATAGTAAGCAAGTCGACTAAAGTATAGTTTATGATAAGGGAAGTACAATTAAGATGATTGGTGAGAGATATGAAAACATAAAGTATTGAATTCACTTAGTATTGTTTGTTTGGATCTTCCCATCGATGTGTTTAGGACTACAACTGGTCAGTCTCTAATTGGAATATGTGCATACTGTGCGTATTGCCTCGATATACCTTAATTCACAAGCATGGTAAGCAGAGATGGATAGTGGCTAGCAGTGGAATCCAGTTTGACGCGCGTTTCGTCCTATTTGGGACTCGTCAGCTGGATGTACCTGCATATCAGTATTGTGTGGCAAATAATTGCCGACCACATACATCTTACAATCAAAATACCAGGTAGAGATTAAATAATTTTTTGCTTAAAACTAATAATCAATGTAATATAAATGTATATATCTGAAATACAGGTTTGTTGTTATCATTTAATAGTAGGTATGAATCCCTAGATAATGGAGTCAATTGGTACATCTATTTTGTGTAATTTGAAGATTTGTGAACTTTTATATAAATGAATTCCTGCTATCAAAAATATATATACAACTAAATTTAATTTATGACTTCTTTATAAGCATTAAGTCGTAGAAAATAGTTAAATATAAATCGTTACTGAATAAAATGAAATGAAAAGTAGTATAGTTTCATTTGTAGCAAAATCAAATGTAGTCAGTATATTCAATTTGAATTCAATCTTGGGGATCCACGTGACTATCGTAACCAATGGTTGGAGACTCTGGGTGACATGGCTAAGAATCAATCACACTGGTGTCAGCTTATACACTCTTTGTTTTCTTTTAAACTGTGTGAATAAAATTACCTTATATCTTCCTTCCTATCAACTAATTCTTTCTTCCTGTATTATATCCTTATACACAATCTTTGTTTTATAATATTAATACCAATGAAGTAACTGGTTTTATGAATTTGGTGTTCATGTTGTTGTGCTAATGATGTGTGACAACTTGAACCGATGCATGTATGTGCCTAGTCCTACGTTGTAGCTGACTGATTGACTGACGATCTTGGAAAGTTATGCGTCAATTTATTCTAGTATTGATGATGAGTTCAATGTTCATCGTTTTAATAACTCAGTTTGAATCATTGTAAATTTAATGAATTTGTGTATTCGAATGCATTTTAAAATTTTAAACCGATATAATATTTATCAGTGTGCTGCTCTGATTTCTCTCACTTGGCATTGTAATGGAACTAAGTGCTGGTCACTTGGTAATAGTCATTGACGAGTTAGCAGAAGCATTCTCTTTACTTAGCATTTATTCATTAGAATCACATAGACGTGTTCCTACTTCATACTTCAGGGGATTGGTTACTACAATTTTAATGTCAGATGTTTAAGGACAATGCACAAACACATCGAAGCCAAAGTCTCGTAATGATTATTACGGGTGAGTGGTGCTGATAGAACTTTGAAAATACCAGTAGATGTTTTCAAACTTGAACTTAAGAAACAATTGACTTATCTAGGCTACAATTAACTTCCTGTAAAAACTGAGATACTTAAACTGACCGATCCTTGTGTAATGATCAAAGTTATTCTGATTCACAAAGTTTACAGGAGATTAAAAGTAAACCAACTCTAAATTATAGGCAGATGATGGCTAATAGTGGAATCTAGGACTCACGTTTCATCCTATTTAAAACACCTTAGTCGAGTGGACCTTGATGCAAGAGTTGACGTTCATTCTATGACTCAAACGCTACAAACTCTACTGCATTATCAGTTGACTAGTGAGTCTACCCTCCGTCTCTACCTACAATGTTTGTTACTTACTGGTAATATCGAATTAATTCGCACAGGATACACATTTGCCAAAAGACATTGATCGATTCTAATCCTAAACAACTAGTATATATGAATGAACACCACAATATTTAATACTCAATTCCCAATTAGTATCAAGATTTTAATATTACAGCAATTCAGTCTCTTTAATTAAGGCTTGGTACGAACATCTTTGGGAGTTACACTAATTTTTACTTTATAGAATTATTCATTGCTGTTGAATGCCAACTGACATGAAACATAGATTCAGAGATTTTTAGCAATGGCTATCAATTGCTTGGTATCTTATTAATATGCGTATATTTGGATTAAATATTTACAGAATTGAATTGTGTTCATAATAGTCCGTTGACCTCCATTAATGGCGGTTCGTAGATGTAAATAGTCAATATAACTACCAAACTGTTACATTATTGTTACCGAATTCAATTAAACCTAAATAATCATAACTCTTTACTTATTCTCCTTTAACTAATCTAGTTATATATTTTTGAAATCACACTATTTACAGTGTTTTATTCTTTACACTATCATTGTTGCCTTTGTTTTTACAATAAGAAAAGCTCACGTTTCAACGATATTCATATGAAACTTTATTATTACTATAACTTACTTACGCCTGTTACTCCCAATAGAGCATAGGTCGCCGACAAACATTCTCCAACCCACTCTGTCCTGGATCTTCCTTTATAGTTCTATCCAATTTTTGTTCATTCTTCTCATTATGTCTCCATTTCTCGGCGTAATGCGTTCTTTGGTCTTCCTCTTCTCCTTTGTCCTTCAGGATTCCATATGAGGGGTTGTCTTGTTACGCCTGTAGCCCCTTCGGGGTCTACTGCCGGTTCCAAGCCTGGGTAAAGGGGGAGGGTTGGGCATGGGGTTAGCGACCAACTCGCTAAAAAAACGATAACTAGAAAAAATTATTTAACCCCCTTATTAATATTTGTTATATCTTGCCGGTTGTGAACGCTATACTTGTTTCCCTAAGCTAGTTCCGTATCCTCGAGCTAGAACTATTCAGCGACTTGAAGACCGGAGAGAAGACACGAGTATGAGAGAAGTAATTTACTACAAAGTTCAGTTGTGTACAGAAAAACAGGGGTTTTTATAGTAATTAAAAGACCTTGAATTCCCATAGTAGCAGTGTGTTAAAGAGCCAATCAGGACCT